TATGAATGGGGCCGTCGATAGAGGGCATCCTAGACGGGCATATACTGGCCAGATTGGCAATATATTAAAGAAGGCAAAATTAAACCGACGTGCAGCATAAAAAGTCTCATCAGTCTTTTTATGCTCACAGTCATCACTGTTGATGAAGCGAAAGAGGTAAGAAAGAATCGTAGCAATAAGTGTGTAAGTAAGTGAGGCGTTACAAGTGCGTAAGTGTGGGAGAGCCATGCTTCGGCACGAAATGGCCGGGTCGACTGGATTGATACCACGGCCTCACAGAAAAACGACGTGAACCAACGCTTGCGTTGTGTTTCGTCATGTGAGTGAGGTTACCGGAGGCCCAATTACCCTCCCCTTTCTCAATTTCCCCAATCCCTGAATCCCCAATGATCCTCAAACTCTTAATCCCCAAAAGGCCGGTAACGCACTTGTAACGCCTCTGGTGTTCTAGGTGTCCATGGGTGACGCCGATTGCTTACCATCAGGTGATGCGTCTGCTCGTTTACCGGCTTATGCAATAAAAAAGCAATTAGTGTTCCATAGTCTGTATGTTGTTTAATTAACAAATTATCATTGTGTTTTTCAACTAAATAGTTCAAAGCTCTTATGATTGACTTCGACAATTTGACACAGGTATTTTGTCATTGATCTACTGATATCTTCTCTTCACTTACGGAGTACTTCGGTTAATGACGTTCAATTTTCGGTGTTCTTACTTCGCAATAATCTGTGACTACAGAAACTCAATCAATAGCTACCTAAATATTAGTTACGCATTTCCTCTTCATTTTACACGTTAAGTCTATTTTTAAACAAGAACAGGTAGACTAGTCCTAAATATTTGCATGTAAAAATTCAAACAGCTGATAAAGTTTGCTATTAATTCAGCCACTCTATTATGAACAAATTATTATAATTTATAGACATGTTATAATATACAGAAACAAAATGAGTTCAATACTTTTTACCTAGACTTTGGACAGGTGCAATGACCTAAAACAAGGTTTTAGTTTTAAGCGGTTTTCTTTGTGAAAATATTTGTTAATAATAATATTTTGAAAGTAATTTATTGAGTGCTAAAGTATTTTTCGCAGAGACGGATAACAACACCCGTCGCTATTGGTGAAACTATTTACTGCACTTAAAATACAATATCTTGGATGAATACCTATAGCTAATTGCTAAATGTGGACGTGTGGTTAAGGTAGAATACAATATTGTAACATAACATCACGCCTGTTATCTCCAAAAGGGTAAGCAGAGGTGCACATTACGGCACTTATTGTCACTGTACAATATAACACCAACTTTTCACCATTTATGTTGTGAATCTCATTTAATATGGCTCAGCCTGATTTTTTGTTAAATACCCAGTAATACTTTGCTCGACCAGGGAATTGGACCCGAGCCCCCTTGCCGACCTATAGTCGCACTTGCGACTACTCGGCCAACGAGGCAGTCAAACCAAAAGTACAATATTTTCTGATCGCAGATGTCGCAAGGGCTGGTTAAGGAGAAACTAAGTAACAACGATCTCTAATGAACTTTTGGAACTGTGATCTTCAATAATGTGGTGGCTCAGAGGTTTAAGACTTCTCATGCATTGAGACTGTAAGAGTGCGAGTTCAAGACCAACGGTAAATACCAATGTGACTATTTCCGAGTTATATATCCTATCTAATATTATTTAGACACCACTAACAAACGGCGAAGGAAAATATCGTGTAGATATTGCCAACCCGCATTGAGCAAGGGTTGTGATTAATGCTCAAACCTTTTCCGTGTAAGAAGAGCCCTTTGGTCAGCAGTGGGCAATAATGGGCTGTTGATGTTGTATGTAATCAGTAAATGCAACTACCCTGATAATTGCTTCGCATTTGTCGTATGAGCCAGTTAAGGAGACACTGGGTAACGATGTTCTCTGATGAACTTTTTAAGCTGCAATTTCCAAGTCACCAAGCCTTACAGATTATAGCAAACCCTCTTTCGTATCTAATATTGTACCCTTTTTTAATACATATATTTGATGGGCCATCGTTTGACCACTATCTCGCTTGGTGTTAAGCGACGTTGGAGCACGTCGTCCCATAAGCAACCTAATTACCCTCCCCTTCCCCAATCTCCCCAATTTCTGAATCCCCAACGATCTTCAAACTCCAAATCCCCAAAAGGCCAGTAAGGTACTTGTAATGCCTTTGGTATTCCAGGTGTCCATGGGCGACGACGATTGCTTACCATCAGGTGATCCGTCTGCTCGTTTACCGGCCATAAAAAAAAACCTTTTCACTCTTTAATATCATATGACTTATTTATTTGCGAGATCCTAGACAGTTATCCCTTAGACGCGTCGGAATTCAGTGTTACGGCGTTTTCATGGTTGTATCTACTGTAAATCCTGGCGTACAGGAGTTGCAGCAGACTGGACAAAAAGTTTTATATAGTCTTGTAGATGATAGCCACCTGTCATAAGCTGTTGATGATGAAATATCATTTCATGACCTAGAAATTGAATCAAGAGATCTCTTCGAACGAAAATAGAAGCACGTTTATGCTCTTTACACATTGCAAACACTTATAAACTTCACTGACTATAAAACTCTATTTGAGGAAGTGTCGAAAACTTCACTTTCGTTGTGAATTTTGCTTCATAATGCTAATTATATTATTCATAGATTGATTCTTAATTCGTGCTAATTGTGCGACGGCGCATAACTTCACGTTTAAGATAGATTCGCCAATGTTTTTATATCATCACTATTCAATTGTTATTTTATATGAAACTTTTTGGATCTGGATTCAAAAGTGATTTTGTTTTGTTTTTATTCATGCTGCTTAAATATTTTAAATGCAAACTTGATGTCTATGTTAGAGACAGAGATGCACATAAAAATAATTTTACAATTCAACACCCATTTCTTTTTACAATTGTGTTACAGGTAGGCAAGCCCTCCAAACATTATTCAGTACAGAAATATCATTTAATAAGGTCATAATTTACAGCAGATCTTTTGAAGTTTTTTTTTTATTTTAAGTAAATGTCTGCTTTTTCTTATCGGTATTTTTTCTGTTTTAACTTTTTCCTTTAATAATAGCCTAAAGCAAGCGCTTGTACGTAATAGTTTCTATCCCTATTGTGAATAATGCTCGCTTTGGCATCATTTTAGATCCCTATTGATCCCTATTTAGGTAAATGAGAAATTTTAGGAAGTTCAAATATTCTAGCTCTGGAATCGGAACTATCTCTAATCGGATCTTCTCTTTTTCGGAAAGACCTTATTCGAAACAATTTTGTTACTTTAAATCCATCCACGTTTTTTTTTTAAGGAGGGAAAATCATCGAATGTCTGCTCCCGCCTGGGTGAGGCGGGAGGGAGTGTCAGACTCTTACTGACTAAAAACCACCCCGTTCCTTCTCCTGCACGTCGAGTCGGAGCCCCGGTTACCCGTTAGGTTCTCCGCGACTCCGAATAAATTCCTGGCACCATAGTGTTTACAGCACGTGGCAATGCATGGCAATGTGTGAAAGTTAGAAAATCTGTCAAAATCGTCTACTGTTAATTGACATGTTTTTACATTTCTAGTTTTATGACTTTATATCTGTTGTCAAATAAAATATTCTTATCTTTATTTCGTTGTTAACAATGTAATTTGAAGTGGATATTAATTAATAGGTTGCTACCGAGGCTGTTGAGTTTTGAGCTTGACATCTTGTCTTATTTTGTTTTTCATTCATAAACGACTTCATACTTAAGTTCAAGCTTTTTAACCCCAGATAGACAACTTTTTTTTTTAATAATAAATCGTTTATTCAAAGTTAAGAAGTACACATTACAATATCATGACACTTATCTACGATTCGTGAAGACATAGAGTATATAAATATACTCATATTTAATAATAACCGCCATTTTTAACTGACTTCCCAAAAAGGAGGAGGTTTTCAATTCGTTTGTACATTTTTTACCAGTTATGTTGTATATCCAATATGGGTATTTAATAGTGGGTTAGCTTATTGCTATATGCCGAGTTGAATTCGAAACTCTATGTGTGATTGAGAATTTTTTTAAAACAAATACCTAATAAAGGAAAAACTAAACAAAAAAAAAACAATGGAACCCTTGCCTTGCTCAGCAATTGCTTCTGCAACGGCTCGACTAACAAGGCAGTTTTTTTTTACATTAAACTGTACCTACATATTGATAATAATCGTGATATCATACACGTTTAATATTCCTACAAAATCTAGGTAGTAAATGCAGACATGAAGTAATGTTTTAATTGTTAACGTACGTACGGAATTAATTAACACACAAAACTAAAATGAATAAGACATTCAGGATAGTCAAACAATCTGTATCAAGATAAAACAATAAAACTTCAATTCACACCTTTAATAACAACAAAATAAGGTTAATAATTCAAAAACTATTTTCTTCAAAAAGAAAATAGAAAAACAAAATCAATCGAGAGGCAATTAAATATTTTTTTGACAGGAAATTAATGAAGACGTTGACATAGTGACGGGATACGAAATACATGAGCCGTCACAAGTCACAGCACACAATATACTAGAGGTACTTGCGAAATGATTCTATATTAGCACAGACATAAATGTTCATTTCAGTAATATTGAATTTCATGTCTATTACATTGTCATTGCCAATGACAATAGCAGTTGAAGGTGAAGTCTAAATCTTATAGATTAGACTTACAATAGAGATATAACTGTCTATTGTCACAAAATATTAGTAGATACAAATCTACTCTACAGATTTCTATCAATAAAATTCCATTTTTAATTTCACTCATACGTATAGATTCGTAAATGGAATTCTTTTTTATTTTACCGGGAAAACTTTTAACATATACCTACATATTTTAAATTAGGAATTTCGTCGATATGTACTGGGTACCAAACATAGGTGTGCGTCGCGTACCGAAGTAAAATTCTAGTAGAATTTATGCCGGTTCATACGAGAAGCGGTCATAGTCGACGACACGGCGCGCTAGTGTTAGGACGCGCCGCTCGACACCCCGACGCGAAGAGCACGCGGAAGGCAACTTGCACGCAACTCGATCTAGTGTTAAAAAAAAACAAACCCAAAAACATTAAAAACTCATTGTTTATGTTGTTGTAAAATAGATAAGACACTCTGTCTGTTGTTTTTTTTTTTGTTAGTTTTGTGAATGAAACAGTGAATGATTTTTCCAGTTACCCGTAATTGAAAGGTTAGTATATTTCTCAATAAATTAACATTATTTCGACGATAGAAATACGTTCTTGGAATTTTTATCAATGGAAATGCGTTTCCGATTGCTCGCTAGACATGTGCAGAGTTCAACGTATAACCTTAACCCTCTAACGAACACAATACGAAGCCGACGAATGTATTTACATTTTCTCGTATCGATGAATATAATATAATTGACAACTGACATTTCCAATGGTGAATTTCACTAATCGTAGTGATGTCCTAATTGAAATCTCACAGGATTGGCATGTAATTAGCGTTAAATAATAATCTACAAAACTGAACTGTGGCGAGACGATTAAAAGTCTATCATATTAAATTAATTAATGGATTTCATTCATTAAAATGTAAATTTATTCAAACGACTTATCAGCAAACTGACATGTGGTAGGTATCGATATTTCCAATCGATAGTTTTTATCGTATCGTTTTTTATCGATCAGCTGTGTGATCGATAATGTTTACGTCAATTTCCCTTGCTATAATTTTATATAGTAATTCGATGGTTTTTTTCTTACGGTCATTTGCCTGTTAATGATTTCTATTGGTCCCTAATGAATGTAAGTGTAGTTTTTTGCGTTTTTTTGCCACCATAAATGAGATGTCATGACTTTATAAGTCTAAATTGATATAGTTATCAGTGACATTGTCATTTCTGATGACGAAGTATTTCTCATCATGTTTAGGACAATGACCATTCATGATTTAGTGTAAAAAAGTAACGAACAATTATTTTTTGTTGTGCTAATAGATTATAATAATGTGTGCCTGACGTACGCATTGTGTTGTGGTATTTCATACAGTTTGACTTTCAAAATATTATAGGCGTCGTGTCCTTACTTCCTACTTAGTAGCTAGACTAGATTACATACCTGTTTGGATTTTTTATCATAAAGCGCAATCCAGCTGTTGCTATTGTATCGCGATTTGATTCACGACCTACTTACTTATAGCTACAGATTGGTATGTGTATTGGTATTTGTTAAGTCTCTAGCTATCATGAATGGGCCTACATCTACTTATTTTTGACTAGTTCTTGATTATCTCGGTGAAAATACATACATACTCAACTCGTCGGGTACCGTCATTATAGACACAATTATAGAACAATAGGTTGCGGTCACCGATGACCGCTTAATGTTTGACAGTTTAAACCTCACGCCTGTCTCCCATGAGGCAGGGAGTATAGAACGCCAATTTCTACGATTCTTACGTACCTCTTTAGCTTCTTCAAAATCGTTCTCATTTCGTTTCTATCTCAGTGAATTTATTTGATTCTTTATCCATATAAATCTTTCTCTCACTCCCTCCCACCTCACCCAGGCGGCCATTCGATGATTTTCTTCCCTTTAAAAAAAAAGATCCATGTAAACCTTATCCTGTTGATTATTCACACAACAAAACTATTTAATAAAATAAAATGTAACAGGTAATAAATCTCTTTTTCCTTGATAATAACAACTGAAGTAGGTTTATTCATGTTTATTTACTTGTGTCATTAGTTCCACAAAATGAGGAACTAGATTATCGCCATGCAATCGCCATAAAAGTTTTCTTGTTTATACTAAATTGAGTGCTAGTTTCTAGACTAAGCTTAAACCATGACTATAATATGCAGTTAGTGTAACATAACATTATACAACGACTTTTATTCTCCGTAGAAGTACCTAAACAAAACTATGTGTTATACTAACTTTTCGGTACTTTCCTATGTTACAAGTTATTATTGTATAACAGAGAGGTCTATGCAATTTAAACCTTATAGAATCTCAAAATTTACTTAGCATTCACACTTGAATTCCAACCTTATTTAAAAAATCTAAAGTTAATATTTATATGAGATTATGTTAGTAGTTAATTCGTTTTGTAGTGAAGGGTTAATTTCTGTTTTGTCTGCTCGGGATAACATTCAGGACTGTGGATAATTTTTCGTCGAAAGCTTGACTAACGACCATCATAATATTTGTTAATCTAGATTAATTATTAACGACATCGAATAATTTACGAAGAGGACTATGAGTACTAGTTACAGTTATATACAGTGTTGTGAGTTAAGTCAATCGGTCATAAGTCCGGTCAGTAAGTAGGAGACTAATTTTTTTTATTTAAGGGTAATATACCAGTAATCGAGCATACGGACCACCTGATGGTATTATTTTTTTTTAAGGGGGGAAAATCATCGAATGACTGCACCCGCCTGGGTGAGGCGGGAGGGAGTGTCAGACTCTTACTGACTAAAAACCACCCCGTCGTTACCGGCCTTTTGAGGATTAGTACTTTGAGGATTGTTGGAGATTCAGGCGTTGTGGAGGGGTAATTGGGCCTCCGGTGACCTCACTCACACGAAGTAACACAATGCAGGAGTTATTTCACGTTGGTTTTCTGTGAGGCCATGGTATCACTCTGGTCGAGCCCGCCCATTCGTGCCGAAGCATGGCTCTCCCACAAATGATGTTGATATCATTTAGGTACAGAGGCAGCACAGTCGGTAGATTCTCAAATTTTAACCTACTCTACCTACGAGACAGTAAATAATACCCAAAATATATTAACAATAAGTGTCATATTAGCACAGTTGCAATTTCAACAATATCATTGCAAATAGAAACGTGTTATTACCTTTTCTTCCGTCCAATACTTATGTAGTTGTTAAATAATTTCTTTGCTCTTGCAATTAACACGCAATGACGTCACTGCTACCATTATGATTCATAAATGTAAGCATTTCTGCGTTATTAACATACTTCGATAAAGCTTAAATACACAATCGTACTTGAAACTTACACTAGTTTTTTATAATCGTGAAGTGAATGAAGTTTGTTAACTCAGATAAGGATAATAATGGGAAAGTGAGTTTGTTATGCGATTACTCCTAAACCGCTGATCCGAATTCGATGAACTTGGACGTAGAGATAGATTTCTAACACATTAAACGCCATGGGGGTCACCTGTGACCGACATTAGCGGAGGATTTGCCTTCGACAGTTTTCTATTGGCAGTCAAAGCCGTAAGATGAGATTGTTGATAGATTATTGTTTGTCATATTTAAATTAGAGAAAGGGGTCATGAGGGTTGGAATTGGTTTTGTACAAAACATTTGAATTTATTATTCATACCTCTTTTACTCGTTTAGATCAAATCAGAATTGATTGACTAAAATTCAACGAACAAAGCTACGGGCGCACACTTGTACGTTTATCACGTAGAGACGTGTGAAAAATAGGTCATTCGCCTATGCGATGAACTTTCCAAGTATCCATGAATGAATCGTTAGTAAAACAGAATTTAAACATACAGAACTTTGAAGTTGACGTTGTTTTTAATTAAAACTAGCTGTTGCACGCGACTTTGTCCGCGTATAATATGAATTTTAGAACATCACTTTTTTATGTTTCAATTTTCCAAAATAAAAGTACATAGCCTATGTTATTCCTTAGTTCATTAGCTACCTGTCAATATCGTCAAAATCGGTTCAGCCACTAGAAAAAGATTAGTACAAACAGACAGACAAAAAATTCTAAATAATGTTATTTTGGTATACATATTATACATGTAGTAAATAGTGATTATTTTTATATTACAAACGGACACTTCAAATTCATTTATCTATATAGATTTAACTTCTCGTGAAAATTTTCAGCTGTTTTAAATGGCCGTATTAACTCCATCAGCTCGTTTTCTTATATTGCCTGACATAAGCTTCTGTAATAGTATGCTACTAACTTTAGGCTTTATACGTTTATTTAGTGTATGTGAACTTGTATGTTTGTAAACGCACCCATGATATGGGAGAAAATACTAGTATGGGCAACATTTAAAAAAAAAATACCAAAGTATCAGGGACCGCATTAGCATTCGGTCGGTCATTACATGGGACTCATAATAAAATAGTGAAAAGTGGGTGTTACATTGTACAGTGGCATTAAGTGCAAATTGCGGTGTACCTCTAACTACCTCTTCAGGGATATAAACGTGATGTTGTGTATGAGTGTGTTTTTTTCGGTATAGATAATAAAAGGCTTGTTTGTTATCCTTCGTATATTTGAATAGAAATTTCTCTAAATCGCAACCACTTTGTGTCAGTCATGTAACCATGTTCCACTTTATTGTTGTTACACATAGGTATACACGACACATGTATAAGACATAATATATTATATACCTGACACATATTATAAAGACTGAAGCCGTAAATTGTTGAGATAATAAGATAAACAAATCATTAAACAATTTATTTACAGTACAAGTCGTTAAACTCGTATGTTGTACAAATTCAGATTATTTAATATCATTCGAGATTTAGGCGAGGTTAAATGGTTTGCATAAATATTTCTCTTGCTAATGTTACTGTGGTTTATTAAGTGATCTCTTGTTGAAATAAGTTACTACTTTTGGTTATTTTCTCTTTTGACTCTTTTCATGGATGTTTAGGTAATACTTCTAACTCTATAACTTCGTGGTGGCCTTTATGACCTCCTATACTCCCGACTATTCGTTACAGCACTGCATTGTCGAGAAAGATGTTTAGCGTTTAAATTCTGCGTCAGAATAATGTATCGGGATTGTCAATTTTGAAATTTTTGATGAAAACACGGAATCTCAAATATTGCCTAGTCTAGAAAACTCTTTTCCAGAAAGGGTTATTTAAAATATATAACCTGAGTGTCTTCAAGGCCCGAGTGAATAGGTTGCTTATGGGCAGACGTGCTCCATCGTAGGCCACATCAAGCGAGATAGTGGCCCAACGTCTGCCCATCAAATACAGAAAAAAAGTTAAACCTACGCTAGAAGGTGTATATATCTCTTATTATGGCTTCCCCCGAGCGTACGGCGCATCGAGTTCAGCGCGCACCTCAAAGAGCCATCAGACCACCACAGACGGGGCCCAACAGGGTCGATGCCGATTCGGAGTCGCGGAGAACCTAACGGGTTACCGGGGCTCCGGCTCGACGTGCAGAAGAAGGAACGGGGTGGTTT